GATTTGATTCATCTTGCCCGCTCATGGAGCTAGCCATATAATAAGTATGCTTAAAAAGTCTGCAGTCTGCATTCAGTATTTTGTCGCCAGTCTGCATTTTACCCCCAGTCTGCAATGTGCAGTCTGCAGTCTTAATACCAACAATTGGACTGCCTTAGGAAGTGTCAGCAGGGCAAAAATCAATAATTTGATATTTAATTTGTAGCTATGCAGGTAAGCTATTTGTAGCGAGCTTATTGTTTTACTGGTTACAAGTGCAGAGGTCTCATGATTATCAGCTGCATATTTTTGTTATTGGTCATAAATCATATGACTATCATAACATTAATTGCAATAAGTTTGGCAATAGTTAACTTCCAGAACTCATGTGGTCATTGATCATCTAGACTTATATTAATAACAGGTTGTCAATATCCACTTTAAGCCTTAATATCTTGAAAACGTTGTATAAAAGAGTGGTAAACAATGAATCCTAACATAATTCAAAAAGGATGCAACCCACCATAGCAAATAGCTGTTTTAAAAAGAAGGATATCATAGAAATTGGCAAATCCTGGATCGTCTGAGTTGTTGTTCCTACAGTGTGAGAAACAGGCCCAAAGGATGAGTTTATGTCTCATAATTTATATGCCAAGTAAGAGCTCAGTGTCATAATGTATAGATTTAGCCAAGCCTAAAAGCAGAGCTCCTGGTCTGAGTTGTTCAAAGCCTGATTAAGCTAACCCAGGATAAGCGAGAAGTTTGATTTGAGTTTTGAACTTTGCAATGAAGTTTTCTGTTCATATTGTTTGGCCTTCTGTTTTAAGTTTGAATAATCTCAAACTACACAAAGCAAGAGCAATGAAAAACATTTGTATACAAACAAAAATTATATTTCAGCTAACTTTTAGTCCTGGGTTAGCGTTAAACAGTTTCTGAACAACCCAGCCCTGATTACTACAAGTCAACCTGACATGAGCCCATGATCCAATCGAGAACCAGAACGTGGTCAGCGGTCAACTTTTAAAAGAAAGGTGATTTCGATGAGTTCTAAACTTGAGCCCATGATGTGGTCATGTGATACTGGTCAGTGGATACTTTGTTTTGACAGGTGTTAATTGACCATAACATGGATGTCTAATATCAAAGAAATCCACGCTTTAAACCAGTAGGCTGCATGTCTCAGTCAACCTACTGTATTAACTGGAGTATGGCTGCCATCTTTCACGACTCCACCGCCGTCATCATTGTCGTGCATATGCCCCCACAAGCAATACCACCAGTCATGATAACCATGAGAAAATCAATTCATGGGTTTCCTTTTCTTTCCTATAGGAGTATGGGGCTCTGCTTGGTGGCCCTTTGGGCCAACAGAGCACCGCTATGAAAATGGTCAGTCATGACATTCAAATTTCTTATTTTTTTTTAGAGCAACAAAGCCAACTTGATTATAGGAGCTGATACTGTGGTTGTAAGTAGGATTAACTGGCATGTATAAATTTAGATAATTTGATCATGATATAATTAAGACTGTATAGTTTGCAGGCTATTGTCTCTGAGGCATATCCTTCTCCATCCCATTTACTTCTAAACTTCTGAGACACATCAACTTGCTTGTTTTTTAACTATGTCTGAGCTGAGGCTGATTATGACAGTTTCTTCAGCCCATAATCAATCACCTGGAAGTCATCTAACAAATTTCTTATTACCCAAGCTTGCTTAGAATTTACTCTCAGTCAAACTATCAGCTCTAGATCTTTCTGCACAAATGTCACTGCACTTGACCCATAGTTTCTAACCTCGTAGAGCAAATACCTTCTCAGTAGATAGATAAACACCTTCATTTTAAAAGGAAAGATCTAAAGGTAAAAATTTCAGGGTAGTCCCTTCAGGGAGCTTACAAAGCATCTCTGCTATCAATAGGGGCCCTGAAGTACACCGGATCCTTGTTAAATAACTTACAGTACGGACATTTGCACCATAAATACATGATATTTTTTGTACCTTTCTTTTTGGTGACTGAAGAATGAAGGCTCTTTATATAATGTACAAGACTAGTATTTTCAAAATATAAAAATACTGAATACTTATGTTAAAATAAAGAGCACTCATTCTTTTGTCACTAAAAAAAATGTATATTGTCTGTAAAATATTTTACATTTATTGAGACTCAAGGTTTTAATATTACAAAACTTGCTTCTACTCCAATAAGCTGGCAAGTCTGACATGTAATGATTTTCAAAAATGACTTATTCCTTCATCAGGTCTTGGATAAAGAAATTCTGGAAAAACCCAAAGATAAAGATAATGCATTTTCTATGTTGAAAAGGTGACTTACTGATCATTGATTTCATAGTATCGAGCATTTGATGTTTCAATATTTGGTTACATTATACGTGAAATAATGAACCAAGTGCTACTAATTGATGCAATTAAAAGTTCTGTAACTCATTTGTAGTTTGAGTGGCAAGGATCATGCTGTGTTCAGTGGTGTTACTCTTTTACAAAGTGATGGTACAAAAGGTGTGTATATTACACAATAGGAAATTCTTCAGTCTATAATCTAACTTGCGAACAGGCTCCTGGCGAGGGTGAAAAAAAGAATTTGGCAAGCGAAGCAAGTAGGGTGGGGCAGGGCGGAAGAACCTGTTGACATTCTATTGATGCTGCCGTTCCATGAATCTAGTATCCTGTTCTGATGGGTTAAATCACTGATTGCTGACAGCTTTTTTATCTGCCCTCACCGGGAATCTGTTCACAGGCTATCTATAACCTAAATTATTTCCTTAAATTACTAAATGTAACTGGTACTAGTTATCTGTTCAAATCCAGTGGTTTGGAGGAGACATACAGTGTATGACCCATCCACCTGTGCTGGCACTTTTCTGGTTTCTGTAAGGTGAAGGGACTAGAACTATTGATAGACGCCCCTGATGCTAGTCCATTGCAGGTCCCTCAAAGTATTTTGCCTGGTTGCCTAGCATACAGTCTGTCAGGGACGTATTTATACAAACAGTGTACAATGAGCTACAAAAGTGTTGAGACGCTTGGCAGTAAAATTCTATTTTTGAGTCACTTGGAAGCATTCCTTCCCCTTCCCCCAAAACAATGTTGATTTTTCTATCTTAGTTAAGACTGCACAGACCACAGTACACGACATTGAATTGGGAGGTCGGGGGTATCAGAGAATTAATGCTTGATGCAAATGAAATACAATGAGGTTCAATATCGAAAAGTGTCATTTTCTAGAAGTGTCTCAACTACTTTTGTTGTCCATTGTAGTACTCCTGCCAGGGGNTATTTTGCCTGGTTGCCTAGCATACAGTCTGTCAGGGACGTATTTATACAAACAGTGTACAATGAGCTACCAAAGTGTTGAGATGCTTGGCAGTAAAATTCTATTTTTGAGTCACTTGGAAGCATTCCCTCCCCCTCCCCCAAAACAATGTTGATTTTTGTGTCTTAGTTAAGACTGCACAGATCACAGTACACGACATTGAATTGGGGGGCTGGGGGTATCAGAGAATTAATGCTAGATGCAAATGAAATACAAGATGAGGTTCAATATCGAAAAGTGTCATTTTCTAGAAGTGTCTCAACTACTTTTGTTGTCCATTGTAGTAC